TCCAGTTGCATGGGGCAGAGCCCAAGAATCAGTATTTTTAATAAAGAGCCATGCAAATTCTGGGTCAGGTGATCCAGGAACCATGCTTTGAGGAATACCGACAAAAGGTGACTGGTATTGGAGAGATTCTTTTTAAATCAAAATATCTTCAAAGTAAATCAAATGCAAAAGTGTAGATAAACCTATGTTAAAAAATAACTAAATTGTTCAGAGGTATTCAGTCTTGTTTGTTCAAACTACACTCACCACTTTAGTATATGTTGAGGACTGAATGTGTGCCTCCACTGCCTCCCTGAAATTTTTGCATCAATAGATATTTTTAGATTATTGTAATCAGAATATGGATGGTACAGAAAACTATTAAAAAAAATTTAAATGCCCAATATGTGGTTGATTTTCTGCAGGCAAACAAAGTCTCGGTGAGTATTTAGTACATGAATTGAAAAGGACACAGGTAGAGAACTAGGGGTGGGGTGAAAAGATAAAGGAGGAACTATTTAATTGAGCACTTACTGTATTCCAAGCACTGGATTAGGTTCTTTCCACATATTACTTTAAATAATCAGTTTTATACTTTAAATATCCATACAGAGAAATGAGAGAGAACTCTGTTTGGAATATTTACTTCAAAAAACTTATTTTCAGATGGTCATTGAAATTTCATTTGTAAATGCATGCATGTATCAATTTAGAGCTTGGATTAGAAAGTAATAGTGCCAGAAGGAACCTTACAAATACCAGGGTCCAAAGAGGTTAAGATGCTCTTTCAAAATTAAAGTTTGTTGAATTAATAATCCAGGAAGCATTATTCATATTTCTGGTTTAGCAGGCTAGCTCTCACTTATCTTCTGTTAAGTACTTAATATAATGCTTAGGAATATGGATACATTCAATGTGAATTACTGAGAGAGAGGTAATCTTGGGTAGTAGTAAAGCTTACTCATTTGCAAAATGCTACAAAATCTCTAGATGAGAGACATTCAAAAAAAGTATCATCTTAGTTGACTGATGTTTGTAATACAAAAGAGGAAAGAAAATGATATTTCTCTCCATGCAGTTTGGTAATAAATATCTGCCCTTCATAGTGCTTGCACTTTATATTCTCCTTAAATACTAATTTTCTTTCCTATTATAAACAGTTGGTATATTAATATTTGAATAGAATGTTTACATGTTTCAAATCCTTTTTAGTCTTTCTTGCAAGGTTATGTTGGGTGGGGGGTCTTAGAGTTTAAAACGACTGAAAGGACTTAATCTGCCTTCCTTTTATAACCAGGAAACAGACAAATTAAATAAATACAAAATATCATCCCCAATTTGTGCCAATAGGCTGGAACTGTCACTTCATTAAAAAATGTATTTTGCATGACCTCTAATGCTATTCCTTTATTCATTCAACAAATATTTTTTGAGATCTTCCTCTGCATTAGGGATTATGCTTATTTTTTAGATCTGAATATTTATATTGAACTGTTTACTTATAATTAATCTGTAAAGAAGCTGCCTTGAATGTGATCAAAGTTCAAGGGAACTCTACGATAATGGTCAAGCACAAACTCATAATATAAGGGCCTAACACTGGTTCGAAGGAGCCCTCCTGGTGCAAAGGTTAAAGTGCTCAGTGGCTAACTGAAAGGTGGGAGAAAGATGAGGTACTCTGCTTCCATAAAAATTTACAGCCTTGGAAACCTGATGGGGCAGTTTACGCTGTCCTACAGGGTTGCTATGAGTCAGAATCGACTCAAGGGCAATGGGTTTTGACACTGGTTTTGATAACATTAATTCACAGAAAGACATTTTCCAGGTGATTACCGTTAGACTCATGGAATCTAGTTTGAAAGTAGGCAGGTGAAAAATATAAATCACATAGTTTCCTAATCTTTTCATATTTAGCCTCCAATTGGAGGTAAGAAACTAAAGGCTCAGCAAAGAATTCCTAAACATTATGCCACTGTACACCAAATCCTCTGAGCTTTCTAAGCCCTCACAACAGAAAACATTTTTGCACATTCCGGGACTTTTATAGTAAATATATCAGGACTTTATAGTAAATGTAAAAATTTTTAAGCTGGTACTGGTTTTCTATTAAGATACGTTTTTTTCAGTCTCTACTTCATCCTGTCAAATTTATGGCTGTCATAAAATATATGACTGTCATGTGTTTTTTTCAGAAAGTAATACTTTTGTGTATAGGCAATTCAGTATATATTATCACTAATAAGGGTTAGAATAATTAATATTTAGATATTGACACCATTGAAGTTAATAGATTTTGGATATTTTGAAATAAAGAATTTTTAAATTTAAAGTTGTTCTCTTTTATATCCACAATTTATCCCCTGGCATAATTATTTATTTTTATAACAAGTAGCAAGCAAACTTTGTTAAATCTTTCACTGTCAAATATCCTTAATAAGAATTGCAATCCACAAGATTTATTAAATGAGTATCTGAGAACCTTATACCATCTTGAGGGTGGCATTTCACTTAGATTGCCCAGGGCAGAGCATGCATTTGAAGTGCCCAAGCGAATGACTCAACTGAACCCTAGGAAAGAGTCCACACAAACTTATTACATCTTGATGCACTGTAGTTAGAAGAGATAATACACAGGAACTATGTCAAGTCAAATGAACAGAGAAAGTTTGAAGCTCAGAAACACATCAAATACCTAAGCAACTGGGAAAATTTGCTGTTTTTCATTAAATCAGAGGCCACCCATATAAACTTCATTGAAAGTAGCATGTGCATAAACATAGAGTCAGGCTGGAGTATGTGTCTTCTATGTGTCTCTCCACTTAATTTTAAACTCTTTGAGGACAGTGATAATACCTTGTTCATCTTTATGTTTGTGGTGGGTAGGGCATTGCCTGATACAGAGTAACTGTTCAATCATGAATAAAGTAAGGATCTTGCAGATCAAACAAACTTCCATCCAATGCGGACATCTTTCACGGTCATTAGCTTCTGCCTAAATCTTCCTAGTGCTATGAAGATCTCATTTCTTCACAAGGCAGTCTGTATTGTTGGGCATATCTCCTTACTGAACCGAAATTTGCCTCTCTCTAATTTCCATCTGGTTGAGAAGATTACGGGTTTTGCTCTGCTGACGTCAACATGTGTAAAAGGACTACTAGACTAACTCACAAATAGACCAAAATGGACGTCTTCGGAACATGCTAATTCTATTGAGGGGTTTTTGGCCTGAATGGCATAGTCATTAAAGAGTCTTTTGGGGAAAGCTTTCCTTGAACAACCCTTAGCATCCCATCCTTTTTAACCTGTTGTCGTTACGGGCTGTTGAGTTGGTTCTGACTTATAGTGACCCTATAGGACAGAGTAGAACTGCTCCATAGGGTTTCTAAGGAGCGGCTGGTGTATTCGAACTGCCAACCTTTTGGTTAGCAGCCACCTTGGCTCTGACTTATGGAGACCTTCTGTATAACAGAATGAAACATTGCCCAGTCCTGCACCATCTCCATGATCTTTGATATGATTGAGCCAATTTTTGAGGCTATTGTGTTAATCCATCTCATTAAAGGTTTTCCTTCGTTTTGGTGACCCTCTAGTTTTCCAAATATGATGTCCTTTTGTAGCGATTGGACCAATTTCACCCACTATCTCTTATATCCAGCTCTCCCTTTCTCTAATGTTATAGAGGAGAAATGCTGTGTGGCAACTGCAAGTTCAGGGATGAATTCTCTAGAAACTGAGTGTAATAACGGGTTTGTTTTGGTTTTGCAAAGCCCATGAAATCCATGGTCATCTGTACTATGTATAAATATTTACTAAAATGGAATATAAAACATCATCTCCAATTAGGCTAGAACTGTCACTTCATTGAAACAAACAACAAAACTTTTCCATGACCTTCAAATGCCATTCATTTATTCATTCAACAAATATGCACTGAGACCTTACCCTGTGTTAGGCACTGAGTGTTCCCTGTGGATCTTCTTTTTATTATATTTAATGCCTTGATGATAATTTTATTTAGGTTCTCTTCGATGATAAGATAAACTGTTTGAATGTTATATCTATTTACTTCTCTATATGATAAAATCAAACATTTACAACATTGGGGCTTCAGAAAAATATTTTAAATTGATATGTTATTAAAAATTGGACATAAATGGTATCATTCCTAAACATGATTTTTATCTATAGATACTATTTTTTGTTGTTTTTTGAGGAAATTACTTTTTATAACAATGAGTATTCTCAGAATCAGGAAGAGAGCTGTTTTAGTTTTCCTTAAGCATTATTAGGATTGTCTCTCAGGTACTGAAAATCTCAGCAAATTGGATATTTAAAAATACTCAAATATTTTATCTTAAGATCATGAGAATAAATGGCTGTACTTGCAAGTCAGCTTAATGAAAATAAATGAGAAGTCTAATAGCTTCCTGAATAGAATAGTTATGCTTCACTGTCTTTCTTATTCACTACATGAATAATTCTGCCTTCACAAATGTGGCAAATAGGTAAAAAATAGACCAAATAGAGACAGTTATATACTTTGCAGTCAAAGAGGTTAGAATTCAATTACTATACACTCTTCCTTTGTTACATTACACAAACCTGAAACTAGAGATTATAGTATTTAGTGAAAATCCTTCATGGTATTTTAAGATGTGCACCTTCATTCCCCATAATAGATTAAAGATATGATCAACGTAGAAACACAAGAATCAAATCACAAACTTATGTTAAGATGACTACAAAAATGTGGGGGAAAAACAATATTTAAAAATTATAGTGAAGAATAAATTATTTCCAATACACATAATTAGATATATACAGGATAATTTAAAACCAAATGGAATGATTGCTAATGCTGAGCTCTTAAAAATCTCCATCAAAATATACATGTGAACCCAACAGAGGGTGATAAGAATGAATTGTGACACAAAAGCAGAATGTGGTCTCTCTTCTTATCCTCAAAATTTGGACCAGATTTCAACAAAATATTTTATCAAGTGTGAAAATTATGGGAAAGTTTAATTCCAAAACCATTTCTCCAAGTTACCAACAGACTTATATTCTCGATGCCTTTTTACATGATCACAAGCGAAGCATGCATGCGATTCCCAAAATCGTGGAAGATTCACAGTGAAGTCCTTCCTCCAGTTAAAGTAACTAAGATATAACTTATTGTTTTTGTCAACTTCCTTCAGATACCTTGCTAGCTCACTGGGAGAGTTATAATCTTCCACATGAATGAATGAATCTGCTGGAATATAATTCTCATAGTTTTCCCTAGATGGCCCCAGCACAACAGGTACAGAGCCAGCCAGAAAAGCATTGTAGAGCTTTTCAGTGATGTAATCTTTGTGGATTGAGTTTTCAAAGGAAAGATAAAATTTGCAAGCAGATATGGTAGGAATCAAATTTTTATCATTCACATACTCTCCAAATGCTTGCCCATAGGTATGGATTTCAATGCTTTTGCTTAGTTCATTGTAATACTTGACTCTGGCATGCTCAGGGTTCCAGTTACTTACAACCCAACACACCAACTTCTCTTTGCTTGGCACTTCAAACACAAAGGGGTTTGTGCTCACCGTCAAGAAGCCATAAGGCACTTGGATATCTGAGTCACGGCGGTAAGTCAGAGTCAGGTTGAATAGGTGCTCAATACCACTCTTTTGGGGAGTGTGAGTTGGTGATTCCAAATTCATCCAAATCCATTTCTGGAATGGGGGCCTAGCCTGCTGAGGTAAATTAGTCAGATCCCAACTAATATCTCGATGATGGATCAGGACAGCATGGGATTTGTTGTATAGGGAACGGTCAGTTGTGAGATGGCATCCTTGGATGTTGAACATCGCTTGACAGGATGTAAGATCAAAGGTCTGCCCAAATGGCCACACCCAAATCAGAATAGTAGTTTCATTAAAATAATCAGTTTTGGTAGAGAAGAAATTTTTCATTTTCAGCACTGAGCTGGCTGACTCCATTGGACTGAAGATCCAGCTGTTGGTGGGCTTGATGTAAATAAGCAGACATGCCATGAAGCAGCCCAGGATAATGCAGACGATTAAAAATGGGCGGAGAATTCCTTTGGATGCTGATGTCATAATTTTTTTCTGTGAAACAGAGAGAAAAAGTTACAGGAGTAAGTTGGGTATAAGGATGGAGAGATAATCATTAATACAATTTCAAATAAACAGGTGGTACATCCTAATATATGTTTAATCACAAAATCAACTGCATTTTCCCAATCAGCGTTATAAACCATTGAGAGAAAAAGAGCTTTCATTAATCCATGAAACTGATTTTAGAAAGTTTCCCATAAACTCTTCTCTACAAATAATGAGTCGGAATTTGTTCTAAGAGTATCAGCATATCTTCATGCCAAGTTGCATTTCTTCATTGCTCTCCTTACCTGTTGTATTTTTATTTGCTTGTAGAAAATTGGCACAATGTTGACTGTCATCACCAAAGCCATGATTAAGATTTTTAGTACATTTAAAGCATATCAGATCTATGAATATTTCCCAGTTGATATATGCATTTATTTGTTAGCTTATTGTGACTGTAACATAATTTTGCTTTCAGATGGAATTCAACAGGACACCAAACTTTTTAAAGGAAAATGTGTTTTGTTTCTTTGTATAAATAAATCTTCATTGTTTACAAATGTATCAGGGTAGTCATCTGGTAAAAAATGGCAACTCTTGATATATATATACATATACACACACATATATATACACACACATATATACATATATATACATATATATTTTATAAATACTGATGCAAAAGTTTGATAAATCTAAACTTCTCACTGATTTATTTTTAAATTTTTTTCTTATAATTTTCTTTGTTAACGTTTAGTAATCTGTTAGTAAGCACGAAGATGTGATGACCAAAAGCCCTACTGGCATTAGAACAATATTCTCACTTATGTGGTATTGGGGATTAAAAAAAAGAGATTTTCTTGGCATTAAAATGATATTAGTATTATAAAAATCTAAACAAATGGATTCTGAAAAGAATAGAGTTATAATTCATAGAGAACAATATTGATCTTGCATACTTTTGCAGATTGTGGCTAAAAAGATGAGTCAGTGTTTTGATTTTTTATAACAAGTGTGGTTCAAGGTTCATCTTCTTTTATATTCATGCTTCCTTGTGAATTTGATCACAAATATATAATATGTAACATATTTGCAAGATTGTATCAAGGTCAAATTCTTACTAAATTTCTGAAACTCAGATTGTTCTTCTCACCAAAACAATATGGTCTGTCAATTTCAGATTCATTAAAGTATTTTCAAATACTGTTCTAAACTGGTGGGAAAACATTAGATGTTTCCTTCCAGAAAAGGGAAAACTGTCTTTCAATTAATTACCTAAAAAAAATCAAAAAACAAACCCATTGCCTTTGAGTTGATTCTGACTCATAGCAACACTACAGGACAGAGTAGAACTGCCCCCATATAGTTTCCAAGGAGTAGCTGGTAGATTTGAACTGCTGACCTTTTGGTTAGCAGCGGAGCTGTTAACCACTGAGCCACCAGGGCTCCATTAATTACCTACATTTATGTAAATGTTTAAAAATTACATTTTGATTGTTATGTATTTTTTCTTAGAGCATATGACATTCTCTTACTGGTAAAGCTTAGTTTTGTGATCCAAATATTCTAGAGATTGCATTCTAGAACACAACCAGAAGAGAATTATTGGAAGTAAAATCTGCAGCTAACCATCAAAATTAGCTCTAGTCTTATCCATTCAATAACAAAACAATATATTTTAAATATGTCCAGGAACTAAATTAACTCTGGGGTTAGAGAGAAATCAGGAAGGAATTACAAAGGAAAGCTAAACATTTAGAACTAAGTGACATTGAGAGTCCTACATGTCAAATTTTGTGGTATGTGTTTAAAGCTGTACTTAGAAGGAAATTTACAGCTTTGCACAGTTTTCAGAAAATTAATTGAAAAATGTAATTCAAGAAGCTAGAAAAAGAAGCTAAAGAAATAAGAAAAGAAAACTACCTAAATTAAGGTAAGGACAGAAATCATCGAAAATGAGAGCAAAAATATGAGAATAACTTGTGAATAATATCACAAGTTTCAAAAATATTAAGGCAATGATAATCAAGAAAAATAAATATAATTGCAAATTTAAACATCAAAAAGGATAAATAGTTGTTCATTGAACATAAAAATGTTAGAAATGAATACTTTGAAAAATTTTATGCTAATAAATTTGAAAAACTTGATAAATGGTTGTATTTCCACACAAATACAAAAATACTAATATTGGCACAAGAAGAAATGGGAATTCTGATTAGACAAATAACAATTGAAGAAATGGAATTCATAAGCAAACAAATAAAAGAAATACAAGGCTTAGATTGTTTTGCAGGAGTGAAATCAACAATTCAAGGAATAGAGAATACCACTCCACTCCCTTATAAGTCTATTTCATTTATGAGCACAAATGTAACAATTCAAAAATTTAGCAATAAACAGTATCGCAAATATATCCTGATGCAATTACAGAGTACGTATATGGAAATTTTGTGGGCCCTAGTGGCACAGTGGTTAAGAGCTCAGCTGCTAACCAAAAGGTCAGCAGTTTCAATCCACTAGCCATTCCTTGGAAACCTTATGGGGCAGTTCTACTCTTTCCTTTGGGTTGCTAAGGGTCAGAATTGACTCAACGGCAACAGGTTTGGTTTGGTTTTTTGATATATGGAAGTCTAGTTACACTCGGTCAGATAAATCCCAATTCTTTCTGGACCTGGGGATCATGTGGGTCTACAGACTGAGCAGGCTTACTGGAAGGATCTCCTCTTCATTGGAGCAACAATAACCTTTCATTTACATGATTTGACTGAGAATCACAATGTTTTCTTTCTATGAGACCAGTTTTTAATGGTTTGTAGAAACCCTCTCTTTGTAGGTTTCCTTAAATCCTTTTTGAATTGAGATGAGGCGGCATTTATTATCCAAATAAATGATGTCATTTGAATAGAATCTGGTAACAACTGTACAGCCACCATTTAATAAATGCTCACTCTCAGCTAGGACTTAGGCCAAGCACTCTGCACAAATCACTTACTTTAATGCTCACAGGACATCTACAAAGGGAGATCTTTTATCACCCCTTCTTCATAGATGAGGAAATGATCAGAGATGTAAGTAGCTTAACTACTGAGTTATGCTTTCTTTTTCCTACCACAAACGTCTTTGAACAAATAATACAAACATCAATAATGCGTTTGCATTTAGCATCTCTTTTTGTTGTCTTGAGTTTCCTGATTTGCACCCTTTACTCTATAATTAGACTAGTTACCCAAGAGTTCAATTTAGATCAACTTCTCTTAACAAGAATAATGCTTGACACTTAAACAGTGCTTATTAGTACTAAGAGATTTAAGCATTCTACATATGTTAACCAATTATATTCTCATTTTATTGATGAAGAAACTGAGGCACAAAATGGTTAAGAAACTTGCCCAGAGGTTATACTGCTAGTAGGTGACACCACACACTTTCAAAGCTGGGTCATCTGGATCCGAACTTTGGGCACTTGATGACTACATTTTATGATGACTGATTCCCTAGGTTTGCAGCTAAAGAATGCAATCATCTTAGTGACACTGGAATGTAAACTGCACGAGGGGATTTGTTTTCTTCACTGCTGTAACTTCATCACCAGAATATAAACAAAACAAAACAAAACAAAAAAGTTGCTATCAAGTTGATTCTGACTCACGGCAGCCCCATGTTTGTCATAGTAGAACTGTGATCCATGGGTTTTTCAATGGCTGATTTTTCAGCAGTAAATTGACAGGCCTTTCTTCTCAGGCACCTCTGGGTGGACTCAAACCTCCAACATTTTATTAGCAGCTGAGTGCGTTAACTATTATACAAGAATATGTTGTTGTTGTTGTTAGGTGCCATCGAGACAGTTCCAAGTCATACCAAACCTATGTAAAACAGAATGAAACACTACCCTGTCCTGTACCATCCTCACAAATATTGCCATGTTTGAGTCCATTGTTGTAGCCACTGTGTCAATCCATCTCGTTGAGGGTCTTCCTCTTTTTTCTGACCCTCTGTTTTACCAAGCATGATGTCCTTCAGGGACTGGTCCCTCTTGATAATGTGTCCAAACTATGTTAAGAAGAAGTCTCACCATCCTCCCATCTAAGAAGCATTCTGGCTGTACTTCTTCTAAGACGGATTTGTTTGTCCTTCCAGCAGTCCATGATATATTCAATATTCTGGGAAACACCATAATTCAAATGCATAAATTCTTCTTCAGTCTTCTTGTTCTTTGTCCAGTTTTCCTATGCATATGAGGTGATTGAAAATACCACGGCTTGGGTCAGGTGCACCTTAGCCCTCAAAGTGACATCTTTGCTTTTTAACGCTTTAAAGAGGTCTTTTGTAGCAGACTGGCCCAATGCAAGACAGCATTTGATTTCTTGACTGCTGTTTCCATGGGCATTGATAGTGGATCCAAGTAAAGTGAAGTCCTTGAAAACGTCAATATTTTTTTCCATTTATCATGATCTTGCTTATTAGTCTAGTTATGAGGATTTTTACTTTCTTTATGTTGAGGTGATATCCATACTGAAGGCTGTGGTCTTTGATCTTCATCAGTAAGTGCCTCACATCCTCTTTGCTTTCAGCATGCAAGGTTATGTCATCTGCATATTGCAGGCTGTTAATGAGTCTCTTCCTCTAATCCTGAAGCTGTGTTCTTCTTCATATAGTCCAGCATCTCAGATTATTGCTCAGCATATAAACTGAATAAGTATGGTGAAAGGATATAACCCTGACACACACCTTGTAAACCACACAGTATCTCCTTTGTTCTGTTTGAACGACTGCCTCTTGGTCTACGTACAGGTTCCTCATGAGAACAATCAAGTATTCTGGAATTCTCATCCTTTGCAATGTTATCCATAATTCGCTATGATCAACACAGTTGAATACCTTTGCATAGTCAATAAAAGACAGGTAAACATCTTTCTGGTATTCTCTGCTTTCAGCCAAGATCCATCTGACATCAGCAATGATACCCCTCATTGCATGTCCTCTTCTGAACC